GTACATGGACCCGATGCAAACTTGGGGTCTGGCTGGAGATTCCAATAATGAGCCTTATTTGTTTCATGTGGTTTAATGAGTAGCCCAGACTGCAGCTGGCAAGAGGGACACCTCACACAGTATGAGGAAGGGGTTGCCCCACCCAAAGGTACCATGCTCTTTGGCAGAATCATTGTTTCCAGCAGCAGCAGAGTCATGGTGGCACATGGGGGAGAGCGTTGAAAGCACCACACAGCACCCACCTCGTCTCCTGCCCCCACCCTTCTCGCTAATGCATTTTTCTGTGGTTTCCACAACCATTAATTAAAGGGAAAAAAGTGCATCAGATGTTAGTTTTATTAGCCCAGGCTCCTTAGAGGGAATCAAAATGAAAGGAACATATGTCATGCATCTGATGACGCCCCCCCTCCCTCTGTTTCTCTCTCCACAATTGCCCACCTCACATACTCACAAAGTGTACAGTCAGCAGCTGTCTGCAGACACAATAGCATTTGATTGATCCTGAGGAAACGGTTAAGACATGGCCCTGCCCACGCTTTCTGGCTGGCTGGCTGGCTCACATTCTGCACCACTTTACATTTAACGCTGAATGTGGCAGTGATCTGGATAATGGGAGTTGGAGGGTGGGGATCTGAGGCTCTGTTTGGGCTCTAATGAGGACAGCCCAGAGAGTTCACAAGACCCTTGGAGTCTTGGGTGGTGGAGGTTGAGATCCAAAGCTTGACACTTCACAGGTTGGGCCTTGTTCTAGTCTCCATGCTATGCTGCCCTCTGCATGACATCACTAATATCTTGCACAACACAGTAGAAAGATAAGTATGTAGATAAATGCTGTCTGTCTGTCTGTCTATCTCACCCATTATATAACTGCATGACACACAAAGACAGATGTGCTCAATCGCTCATTTCTTTTCTCAACATTGCATAGATACAGAATGTACATGGATAATATACTTCTTTCTTTCTTCTCTATCCTTGGGACGTGATTGCATGCCTTACCTTCAGGGGCAGACTGATTTATGAGACACATGCCTGTTTTTTCATGACTTGTTTGATTGCATTCTTAGCTATCGGGTAGTCGGGTTGCCAAGACCATAAAAATTCACACCTGCACAGTATTGCAAGAGAGTCAGATGAGGCGCAGGCAGAGCATGAGGAAGCAGGTGATCTGAGGTATTTAGCTTCTCTTGATCAGCACAGGCATATAATATAGCTCAAAACTGACATGGAGTATTGATTGATATGCTGTGTCGTTTTGCGTAGGCTTTTGTTGTGGTCTGGTGTAGCTAATGCGTAGGACTTTTTATTGGCCTGGATTTCATCCAACCCAAACAAAAACCCTCCCAATACTAGTGTTAAAAACACTACCGTGACAGAAAGGTCATTTGCATGGCTGACATAAAACAACTGAACCACATCATGTTTAGACAATACATCTGACCCTTTGTAAATCCCTTCCAAAAACTTTCCATCAACATGGCCTGACTCCACCCTTGTCCTAAGATGATGTCCTGAGTCAGGCAGCCCAAGATATCTAGTCCCATGTGGTTACAAATGACCTCCTGTAGCAATAATGCAATAAGCGTTGTCTCTTATCTACATTCTCTGGGTTCTTTTTCACTTGGCCTGACACAATTGTGCATTTATCAGTGTAATTGCAAGAGTTGGAAGCACTGATGTTGTCTATTAGGCGGATTTCCATCCTGTTAAGAGCAGAGGGCCTTTTAATGTATGGCCCTGCTTGAGTGTACTGCTACACAATTACACACTGGCCAGAGATTGAGTGGGCTGATGATGCTGATGATTGTGATGGTTTGGGATGGTGGTGATGGCAGTGATGATATTGGACCACCCTGCACTCTTCTAACAAGCCTTTCAGAGAGAGAGTGAGTGAAACAACAAAGTGAAACCGAGGTTAATCATTTTATTTACTCTCTCTCTCTCTCTCTCTCTCTCTCTCTCTCTCTCTCTCCCTCTTTCGCCTACCTCTCTCTCCCTCTCCCTTTCCTTTCTTTAACCAAGTGATGGAGCCCGGACCATGAAGCAGGGGGGTGGGGATCGATGGGGAGCGCATTACAGTAAAACGTATTGATTAGGAGACCTGCGAGCAGTGTGTTGGTGATGGTGGAATGATGCAATGCTTAAAGGAATTTATCCTTTGACTTTTACATTAACCTTTTATTGACTGCTTTGCCTGTCCATAATTAACACTCACTTTAGCTAAAGTGGTTAGTTTGAGCGCAAAGGGGGCTCCAGCCCTTATTGCAGCGAGGGCCGTGGAGCTCCCACCCCTGCCGCAGTTCAAGTGCACTGTGCTGCGTGGAGGGAAAGGCCTCTGTGGAATAGAGGCGATAGAATCCTAGATACCTTTCACATTAGCATACCATTTGAGCAGGGGCCTGCCAGGCTATAAGGTTTCAGAGCAAATTGAAATGAGTGATTGTGTTGCCAATCTCTCTTGACCGAGCGCCAGATGGGATAGTTAGGCCCATATCTGTCTGGGGTTAATCCATTGGAACAGCCTGGACTCACAAACACATTCTCTCCCTCCTTAACTCCCCACCCCCCCACACACACCTCTTTGTCTTTGACCTTAACTTTAAGGTTGGCTGTTCTGCCATGGGAAAGTCTTTTGGTGAGCCTTGTTTGTACGCCACTGTGGCTTACGCTGAATTTCTAGCAAGAGCCCTGGAGAGCTTAAGGCACCTCGCTTGATATTGACTTTTTGTTTGGTTCCATTTTAGCAGTCAAGGGACGGTACTCTGTGAACACTGGTAGATTGTGTAAAAGTGTGTGCTGAATTACCTGCACTATATTATCTTTGATAGTCTTCCAGTCTTGATATCTTTTATATCTCTGGTAAACCAGGAGCCTTCTATTTGCAAGCTAATGTTGCAAGTTCCCTTCTTGCAGCCGGTCAGGTTTTTACGGTATGTAGCCTTTCAGTATGAGTCAGGGCAGCAGGAAAGAGGCAAGTGTTTTCTCTCATAGCTCTACTGCATGAATACTTAATCGGACCAAATCAAAGGCCTGGGTTCCCTTGGCCTATGGTGTCCTCAAGCTTATGTCAGCAGAACCATACAGTGTGTGTGTGTGTGTGTGTGTGTGTGTGTGTGTGTGTGTGTGTGTGTGTGTGTGTGTGTGTGTGTGTGTGTGACTGTGTGCTGTCTGGGTCAGTTTGCACTCTCTCTCTCTCTCTTGCACACTCTGTGGATATGTATGCCAGCCATGTCCTCCTCCTCCTCCTCCTCCTCCTTCTTCTCTGAAGTGGCGCTTCCTTTAATTCGCACCCTAAATAAATGATGAGAACATTTAAACACACGGCTCGTCGCAAAGCCCCAAGGTCGCCTAATCGTATTATTTATGAAGTGATGTGCTACATAATGGTACTTAGTGCATGTTAACAGATGCTATTATCAGGCCCTGATCCAGAGCGCAGAAGATATATTGGAACAGTGGATGTTAATGCTGCTCCTCACCACCGTAATGCAGCAGCTCTTTAAAGGGCTAACCGCACCAAAATGCAGCACTTAGGCCGAGAGCCAGTCGAACATTAAGTGGCTCCGGTGAAAATATATAACCACAAATTGTGGCAGCCCCTGGCTGTCCCCTGACAACTTTAACATCCCCTCATCTCATCCATAACCGACCCCCATATCCTTCTCTTCAGCTCTCTATGTCCTCTCCATCCACTCCTTTAGTCGCTGGCCACAAGGTGGTGGTGGTCGTGTGTGAGGGGTTTGCTTGAGGTTTTTTAGGGTGTGGATGGTGGATATGATAGGACAGACCTGGCATAATGTCTGAGTGTAACTGGCCTTGTGGCTCTAGAAGGAAATTCACCACTCTCAAGCATACACACACCCACCACACACCCAACGTTGAGATGCTATCCTCCACCCCTCCCTCTTGCACCTCCAGGTCAGGGGTCACTCTCATCTGTCAAGAGGCAGAGGGAGGGCAGATTTACAATGACAGCAGAGAGCAACACCAAGTCACCGCAGTAAATATTTACACTGGTCTGACAAAAGATGTGGCTATGGTCTGTGGGGGTTCCAAACACTAGAAATTACAACTAACCTCAGATTATTAATCATATAAAAATCATGCAGTGACTTGAAAGGGCTGGATTTCTCACTGCTCTGTCATGATTGCAACAAGAGAGAGCGATGAGCATGTGAAAACATCATGCTGTGTGTGTGTGTGTGTGTGTGTGTGTAAGATGAATGGGGCATTAATCATGATACGTGATATCATGGTTTCTCATCAGCGTGATACTGTTGCTGCCATTTATGGCTTTAGAAACACTTTCCTGACACATCACTTTCTCTCACTCTCTCAGCTCCATTTAGCTCAATGACCTTTATTGGCTTGAAGGTTTTAAAACAGAAATGCCAAACCAAAGGACGTAGAAGTCGCAAATATCAACCATTTAAATATCATTAACAATGTGTTCGAGAAATAACTTTTATCTGAAGCATTTGTACAATGAAATGTCTTATACACACAGATTACACAGACACACTTACTCTCTCATGTCCTGGAGGTTCTAATTGGTCCTAGTATTATTAGGAGTCATAAAAAGGAGAGGAAACACACAAGCCAACTGCCTCCTGGTTAAACACACAACACCCACCGTGTGTTTAGGGACGAGTTAGCACACACACATACACACACACATCCTTGACAGAAACATTTCTAGGGCCGACCCCTTCACAGCCCCCAACAGTCAATGCACAAAGACCATAGAAAGATATCTGTTCATCTTCACTTACTACAGTTTCTTAACACCTTCACAACTCCCCAGTTGTGTACAAGGTGAAGAAACACAATGATTTGACTTTGGCAGTAGTGCCAACATCTAAAAAAAATGAAAGCACTGGAAGAAAGTTTTCTGAGTGACCTGAAACGCGTGTCCGACTGCTGATGAGTGTCTACCAGTTGGTTTTGATGCGAGGGAGGAGTTAATGGGTGCGCTTGTTTCCTGTGTCCTGTCGCCTCAGGTGCCACTCAAGTCTGGCCCAGACATTACCCCCTGAGGAGGCCCCAGTGGACCGGCCCTTCTGGGGTGTGGATGACCCCAGCATGCCGCTGCCCTTTGATCTGGCTGACATCATCAACAGAGTGGAGTCACTGCTCTGGAGGTGGGCCCAAGATGTTGAAGTGTGGAAATTTGCTTATGTACACACACATGTATAGCTCATTCAGCATTCATTCAGTCACAGGTGGTTAACTTGTTTATTCGTTACTATTTCATTATTATTAAATGTTATCTTTAGTCTCACATGAATATACACAGACACATGAATACTGATGTAGTTATTTCCAGACACATGTGAAGACTAGACGGTATTTTGCAGCTTGTGCATGCCAAGTGACATACTGAAAAGGGTCAAAAGGAACATTCATTTCAATTTTACATTCTTTAGCTTTGGGAGCTGCTCAAAGTCTGAAGTTTCCTGACAACGACACTTCGTGTACACTATGTACAGATACACAGAACACACACCTGTTGTCACACATCCTTTACATACCAAAAGTCCTGTCACAGACTCTAATAGTAGAAACATAGTAATTCAGTTGTGTTGATATTTGGAGTGGTCAATACATTATACTTTAATAAGAAGTTAGAAAATGTTGTCTTCTTTTTAGTCAACCATAATTACGGTGTGTATCCTGGGCCCCTCTAGGCCTGCATTAAGGCATTTCAACCACTTGTTGTCACATAGCAAGGATTTGAGTGACCAATATACAAACTCAAATGAGCTTTTACATCTGTATCAAGCTTACAATTGCAGGTAAACCTTAAGTTCAATTCACAGGAAGCCTGATGTCCAATCATAACTTTGGATAAAAAGGAAAAAACAAAAGTAAATTTTGTCCATTGCCCATTTTGTGTTTCTTTTCCAACAGGATGTGATGGAGGGATATAGAGGAAGTCAGAAAGAAAGACAAGAAAAAAAACCCACCAGCTTTTCTGAATGTGGGGGCCTCACATCATCTGAGGGGACAAGACCACTGAAGACACCTCCGTTGTGATTCCACCAAGATTGATTTCCTTTTTATTGGGGCATCTACATCCCCCCCGACTCCACCCTCCACTCCCTCGGCTCAGCCACGCTATTTTTGAGTTGGCTGGAAGGAAACCAGACCACCACAATAGAAACAGAATAGTGCTTCAGTAACATGCTAACAACGCAAGCTTAGCGACAAGCTACTAGTGTCACAAAGGTCTAACGAAACATAAGTGAAACCTGCATTTCAGTGTTAGCATACATTGTGTAACTATTTATTATTTCAGTGTATTCTGTTACTTAATCTCATGTAAACCAGACATGCTTTTATCAGTGGATTGACTCATTCTCAGTAGTCACAGTACAGTACATACATATATGCTTTGTCACACAGTGTTATAATACAGTATAGAATGGTTAAAAAAAAAAAAACTCACTTTGCTCACATGGTATTGCATTCTTCACTTGTGTATAGTAATCCCTTTTATTGTGTTCAACGGTGGAATGAGCCTGAAGAGACCAAAGAAAGATTATGATAAGAAAGTTCTGAATGTCACCCAGTGGAAAACATGAAGTATGTGTTGTGTAGTGTTTACCGTGCGATGTTGTGCTTGTGCCATATTGACGTATGACAGTGTGTATGGTTGTGTGTGTGTGTGTGTGTGTGTTTGTGTGTGCACATTTAGCCGTGTGAATATACATATGATCAGTCATTGGCCTGTGTGTTCGTACATGTGCACATGTCTACATGAAGGCGCGTGTGTATGAATGTGATAGTGTGTGTGAGCCTGTAGGCAGCCTGCCAGTTGTTTGTTCTTGAAGATATGCATATGGAGAAACAGAAACTAGCAGTGGGGCCCCTCTGCCTCTGCTCGGATGAAAGGCAGCGCTGATAGAATGACCCGGAACACAACCGCCGTTTCTCATAATTACAGCTGTTCAATCGCTTTTAATTACTCTTAAAGTGTGTAGAGCACCACATTCCCCTGTAATGCTGCGGGCCATCCAAGAGAGCGAGAGAAAGATCCGGCTCTTCTGACAGAATCCACTTTCAAAAAGCTAAAATGGGTGGAAAAGGGGGCCGACGTCAAAGCAGTGTAGCAGCCCTCCTCGTTTGATTCCTTTCTCTATCTAGTTCATGATGAAGTAGAGATGCTGTTTACTATTAAAAATGCAGAATGCACTCCTTTTTTTACTTCTGAAGTTTTTTCCAAGATGTTAATGGTTGCCAAACGCTGTTCTTCTTGCTTCTTCTTTTGCTGTGTCTCTGTTGTTTGTTGTTGTCAGAGAGATTTGTTTGTAGATTGGCAGTAGCGTTGGCTTGTTTGAATCACTCTGTGCTCCCTGCGCCACAGCTTGTCTGTCTGAAGCAATAGGAATGGCAGTAAATAAAAAAACAGTGTTTTATCCAACGACCTGTGTTCCTCTGTTCTTTGTGTGCTTTTGTCCATTTTTTTATTTATTCTGGTGGATAACACACATATGACAGGTACAGAAGTTTCTTCATACATGTGTTTGTGTCAGTTTAAATGTTGATTTATTGTACCAATTTTTTTTACCCTTAAACCCAGCCAACCCATGCGAGCACATGTCTCTTTACCACTCTGGTGAAGGTGAGTTACTGTGCATTGAAGTAGACTCTTCCTAGAATCTCTGTCTTTCTCAAGATAAATAGGACAGTAATGGACAAAGATCCGTTATTTAGTGGTGTATCTCACTGGCAGGAAAATTAGCTCAAGTATATCCACACCAGACCAGGGTCCAATAGTGCTTATATGCACAGGCCTACAAATAATTAGTAATATTTGATGACACTGCTGTGAGTGCCAGAGGGGTCAGGTTTATTGTATCAGTATCAGTCACAGGAATTTATCCAGATCTTTTAACTATAAATACATTCATGTTCATTTCCCATGGGGCATGAAACATTTGGTTTTTCAGAAAGGTTAAAACAAAATCAAATGAATGTTCCCATCACTGTTGACTTGACGGAGAACAAAATCAATCAACACTGTTATATAGACCAAATATGGTAATCATTAACAATAGTGCATCATTCAAGGTTTGAATATGGTTTGAGTTAAATATCTCAACGACCATCAGGATGAACTGTAAGAACTTTGTGATCCTGCTACTTTTTATTAGCAGCATCACCTGCAAAAGTAATAAGATTCCCCTTAGCCGTTGCTGTACTTTGTGTTTGGTGCTACTTAACAAATGTTAGCATGCTAACACGCTAAACTAAACATAGCAGCTTGAAGTCAACTCATATTTTATTTTTATAGTCCAAAATCACAATTTGCCTCGGGGGGCTGTCAAATCGTTTCAAACATTCAGCACCCTGTCTTTAGAGCCTTGATTCTGTTAAGGAAAAACTCTCCGCAAACACCCTTTTAACAGGGCCAAAAAGAAGTGTACAGAACAAAGCATAAGACCACATTACATAAACATCTGGACACAAAATCTGATACATGAAGATTCTAAAATGTACGTTAAGAACGTGGATCCAAGAGGATGTTGAAATAACTTCCCCAAGTGAGACATACTACCTTCTCACCATCATGGAGAGGCCGTACATCAACAAATAAAATCACATATATAGAGATTTTGATAACAGAAAGACCAATACATTTAGATTGTAAAGCATAGGTGAAAAGTAGTCATGCCGAAGTTAGCGTTTAGCCCCAAGCACTACCCATGTACTGCTAGCATGGCTGTAGACTTTTAAGCATCTGTATAATACATCTCCTCCATACTCAACAAGGAGGTCTGCATTTCTTTTGGCCGACTACATCTTGCTTTCTGTTTTCTCTAAACTTCAAAGGAACCGGCTGGATTAGCAGAGCAAACAGCTCCTATGACAGACTGATTGATGGATTGATTGATTGAGTGATGTCACTCCCAGTGATGAAGTGATGGCTAATGTTCTGTATGTTTCTCCAAAACCTCAACTCCACACCTCTTACCAACAGTGGACCGGCTTCCCAGAGGTCACCTATGTTAACTGCTTCCTGTACTGGCTGAGTGACTGAGTGATGGATGAGCGTGGAGCGCTCTCCCCTCAGGGGCCGACTGGAAAAAGGGCCCCACTTGAAGAGACAATTACACAGCGCTGGTGAGAGCCACAGGTATGCATTGTTCTGACCGGGGTCAGCCGCCAGCCTACAATAGGTGCATGGAGAGATAAAATAACCAGGTGTGTGTTGGGGAAAGGTATCGGTTTGGGGTCATATTCCAGTCAAATGTTTCGGTGTGTGGCTATGAAGCTGGGATTGATTGTAGTGCAGTTAAATGAAAGCAGGAAATGGATTTGAAATGTTTTTTTAACCAATTTGTAAAGAAGGGTGAAGATACACAACAGATTTATTACGTCATTTTGGTGAATAATGACTATGCATGTCAGTGGAGGACAAATTATTCTATATTTAGAACTAAAGAAATCTGACGTCTACCCTAATAATGTATAGTGAACATTGTACTGTACTTGATTTTAGACAAGGCTTAGTGTATTCTAGAATGTATGTACAATATACACAACAGTATTTTGTCTTGTGTCTACAAGAAGGAATACATGTGTAAAGTTTTCTGTGAACATGTTTGTACAAATGAATAGATGGGTGTAATATCTCTCTCTCTCTCTCTCTGTGTGTGTGTGTGTGTGTGTGTGTGTGTGTGTGTGTGTGTGTCCCAGGTTCCAGAGTGCAGGCTGGTGTGGGAGGCCCTGGGGCCAGAGAGGCAGTAGTAATTGTAGAAGCAGGCTGAAGAGCTGAAGATAGCATCGCAGCTCTGGGGCGGCTGTCAGCAGTGGGATGGGCCGCACTCATTTGTCACCAACGCAGACAAACACCACTCAGCACCGACAAAACACTGACTTGATTGACTACATGTGAAGCAACACCAGCCCTAATGTTTTGCAACTGTTAATTGCACTAAAGGTCATAAAAAAGGCAAACTGCAGAAGTTTCACGTCAGTGTCAATATAAGGCAGGGAGAGACGACAGCAACTGCTCTGACACTAAAGGTCACGCAGACATTAAGGTCATGAGACACTTATAGCATTTTTGTGGCTTGCTTGTTTCTCGCTGAAACATTTCCTCCTCTCTGACTTCCATACCAAATATACATTTTTTATTTTTAATAATGTTTATTAAATACCAACTTTATCATTCTGCTTTATTTAGTCATAGTGGAATTGTTAATCCATGGTTGCTTTACTGATGATGGTATTTTGATTTAATGTGTCTTAATGAAAATGTTATTTAGTAAAATGTGTGCAGTTAATATATCTGATCAAGATATACCCTATATTACAATCTCTTTTAAAATCCTTTTTGGCCTTGGCCAGACCAAACCCAGGGTCACTGGAGCTGCTGACTTTTTTATATGATTTCTAAAATGTGAAGCATCTCTTCCTGCTAACCAGCTGTCCTCTCTGTTAGCAGGCTGATCACCATTGACATGCTCACTGCCCCCCAGTTCACTCTGTATTAGACCTTGAGCGTAAGTGAAGCGATGGTGAAGTCTAGATGCTGATGTTGATGCTGTCAGGAGCCTGGCAGCTGAGCAACTCAGATGAGTACAGGGTATGGCATGATGAGTGTCTGTGTGTGTGTGTGTGTGTGTGTGTGTGTGTGTGTGTGTATGAGTGGTTGGAGAGTGCAGAGGGGGTCTTGCGGGAGAAAAGCCTTGCAGATCAAACAGCTGTCTGATCAAATGTAGAGCGTGTTTGTGGGTCGTCGCTGTGGCCCTGGCCCTAGTGACCAGCAGGCCTGATATCATCTGTCCTGCAGGACCTCGCTCTTTCTATCTATCCCTCTCTCAAGAACTGGCTGACCCATTTCTCTCATTCGCTCCTCATTTCCGTAGGAATGTTTTTTTGGTTGAATTTTCCACCTGATCTTCAGTTACAGTCCAATCTAAATTTATATTACTAACATTTTCAAATAAATATAGATAATTAAATCATTACATTTAGATGAATTGTCATAATCACTATACACAAATAGGGTGTGAGCAAGAAGATTTGTAGCCTTCATCGACTAAACTGACAATTTGTTTGTTGGCAGTTGATCAGATAGCAGAAATCAGCAGAATTACTTCAGGGCATCAAACAAGAGCCACTTTTGTTTGTCAGGTAATTAAATCAAGTAAATCAACTTTATATCCCTTCCATTATTCTAGCATAATACCAGTTTCACCTTAGCACACGTGAGTTCTTAATAGCTGTTCAGTGACAACAAAAACTTGTTTTAGCATCATGGTCTCACTTCTGTAAAACTAATATACTGCACACAGCCTCTTTAAATCCTCCCTTTCTTCTCTCCTGTCTCTCCTCCGCCGCCAGGGCCTCGTCCCCCTCCTCCTTTCCCCACCCTTCACACACACTGAGCCCTGTTTCTTCAGAGTGGTGCTGAAGCATCTCCACTCATACCTGTCTCACTCTCTTACCGTTGCAAGACCTGTTAGTGCCCTGCCATTCATATCAGTGGGATTAAATGGATCGTTTTCCAGCGTGAGCAGCTTCTCCGCCAAGTGGTCTTGATGTCAGGCCAAGCATAATTGAGTCATCTGCATCTCATCTAAAATGGATGAAAGGACTTTTTGATATCACCAGCCTCTTGCCTCAGCACCCCCACCCCCAACACACACACACACACACACACACACACACACACTCACACCCAGCAGGAGAGGGAAAAGGCTTAAGCTGGCATCACTTTGTTTTACCAAGGTAGACCAAGAGGAAAAGGAGAGAAGAAGTCAAACAGCTCTCATGAGCCATCACTACTGCTGGAATGACAACAGAAGAGAACGTGATAAACCAGTAGGAACAAAGGAAAAAAGATCAGTACTTTAGTTTAAGTAAAAGTAAGTAAGTAAAACCACCCGGTTCAGGAAGGATAACGCTCATGGTTACCAGTGTTAACTGATGGTCATGTTTTGACGTCAGACACTTTGAATGACCCCTACCCTCCTCAACTTCTTCCCTTTATCTTTACTGTCCGCAACAAAAAACATCTCACTATTTCCTCCGTTGGCACTGACTGTCAACATTGGTCATTTTAAGCTGTTTGCACAAACTACCAGTGTGTTTTTTCTGGAGAGGACAGTTTCTTTTATATGGTAACACAAGATGAGAGCAGGGTGAACAAAGGAACAGCATTCCACCTTGAGGCAACAATGGACAATGTATCAACCTGTCTTCCTTTAATACTGGAGTGTACTGGTTTAATGCATTTCTCTCTGAGTCTTTGTCTAAATCTCTTTGATATATTTCCTGATTTTAAAAAATGAGACTGGAGATCTAGATGAAACAAAGAAAGAAAAGAAAGGTAAACAGAAAGTGTTAGAGGCGAGATTAGCAGGAAACTGCATCTTTCTCCTCCTACATGCATCTTAATGCATCTCCAGG